CTATAAAGGAGCAAAAATAAGAATTACGACCAACTTCTTGGAAATTATGCAAGCAAGAGAGTAGAGTATAATAGTTAAAGTCTTGAGAGAAAAACAACCAACTTAGAATTCTGTAACGTGTAAAATTATCTTTAAAAAGTGAAGGAGAAATAAAGATTTTCTCAGAAAAATAGAATTTGAGGGAATTTGTAGCCAGTAAACCTGTCTTGCAAGAAATGTTAAAAAGTTCTTTGGAGAGAAGGAAAATGGTATAGATCAGAAATTCAGACCTACATAAAGATAGGAAGAACATCAGAGAAGGAATAAATGAAGGTACAATAAAAAGTTTTATTTTTCGTATTCTTAATTGGTTTAACACAGGGGTGGGGAATCTTTTTTCTGCCAAGGGCCATTTCGCTGTTTATAACATCATTCACAGGCCATACAAAATTGTGAACTTAAAAATTAGCTATGAAAAAAGCTGCTAGATTTATTGAATTTCAAGTCCTGCCTGCGCCTGTCTTGGCAGGGCCAGACCAAATCCCCTGGAAGAGATAACAGTTTGTTCAAAATAACAGCAACAGTGTATTCAGATGTATGTTTATGTATAAGTAAAATGGATGACAGAAATGATACAAGGGATGGTAGAGAAGAATTAGGAGTATTTTATTCTTATAAAGTACTTGTACTACCCATAAAGCAGTATAACGTTGTTTAAAGTGGATGTGGATTAGTTGTAAATGTGTAGTGCAAATTCTATGGTAACACTAAAAAAAGCAATGAAAGTAGTATAACTGCTATACTAAGAAAGGAGAGAAAATGCAATTATAAAATCTCAATTACAAAACTACAAAAGGGCCCTGCCAGTGTGGCTAAGTGGTTGAGTGTCAACCCATGAACCAAGAGGTCACTGGTTCAATTACAAGGGCATTGAGAACACAAGGGAGTCAGAGAAATCAGTAGTGAGAGAGTGTGATTGTTTTAGGTTGAGACCTAAACAACAGTAGAAATAACTAAACCGAGAAAGAAAGAAAATCTCTTGGTTTATACAAAGTAAAGTAAATATAATCCTCTTTGGGGGAGGAAGGACCTTGAAGAGATTCTAGTGAGAAAAAAAAGGGGGGGGGAGTATAGTAAACAGTAACTGATCATATAGTGCCCATTATTACTAATTAAGATTTCTTAAAATTGATATTTTCTGTATTCTATTTTAGTGAAAAATAGCAAAAATCTAAGACTTCAATTTTCTTATAACATCTTAAATTTTTTTCACTGTTTTCAGTATCACTTACTCTAACTGCAAGATGCCTGAAATTAGAATTCCTAATACATATTTTGCAATAGCATATAAAAATGGAGGTTTTGGCAAAGCACAATAGAAGAGTTGCCATATTAAATACAGGATGGCTAGTTAAACTTGAATTTCAGATAAAAAATGACAAATTTTTTAATATAAGAATACAATAGCATGGACCATATTTATAGTACTAAATCATTTGTTGCTTATCTGAAATTTGAATTTAACTGGGTGTCCTATATTTTTGCCAAATCTGGCAACCCTAACAGATACAAAATTCCAAAGAGAAGTGCTAGACTAGGATTTACAAATTGACTCGTAATCTTCTGACTCATTCTGAGAGTATGAAATCATTAAGGAGAAGAGGATTTTGAAAGCACTCCTACCCCTCCACTCCAAGAGCTTAACACGGGCCCCTGCATTTGGAAGACCCAATAGACTGGGGCCTCATTCATATCTGAAAAAAAGCTAAGGCACGTGACGGATTGGCTAGCTGCTCTAAAAGCAGAAACAAAGAAGAGGTTGCTGATGCATTGGAATAAGCTTCAACCTCAGAGTTTATCTGGACAAAGAAAGCTCAAGTGTTTGCTGTAGACTAGATGTGGGCCACACGTACACATGCTGGAGGTATCACAATGTAAACAACCAGTTGGAATAGAAATGTATTTGCCAAAATCAAGAAATCAGCAGATGTGCCCTGGCAAGTATTGGTTGGAGCGTCGTCCTATACACTGAAAGGTTGTGGGTACAATTCCCTGTCAGGGCACAAACCTAGGTTGCAGGTTCAATCTCCAGTGGGGGCTCATAGGGGAAGACAACTGATAGATGTTTCTCTCTCACATCAGTGCTTCTCTCTCTGTCTCTCTCTCTCTCTCTGTCTCTCTCTCTCTCTCCCCCTTCCCCTCTCTTTAAAATCACTAAGCATGCCCTCAGGTGAGGATTAAAAAAAAGAAAGTATCAGCTGAGAGAACTCCAAGGAGTTCACCTAAAGTACCCCATGAAAGAGTCAGCTTTAAAAATCAGCCATGTCCAGGAAGCAATGATGTTAGAAAATGCAACAGTAATAGTCAATAAGAACTTTTCCTGTCCCCTTCTTTCTCCTCCCTTCCCAGAGCCCTAAGCCTTAAGGTGTCCCACAGAAGCAAGCTAGAAAAGAAGGAACAGAAGCCCTAAGTCATAAAAGAGAAAAGAAGCTAGCTGTTCATGTCCTCCTTCTCTAAAAGTTACAGTAGTCTAAGATGGAAGAGATGAGAAGCCTTGACTTTAAAACAAAATTAAAGTTTAGGTTTTGTTTTTTTTAAAATATATCTTTATTGATTTCAGAGAGAGGAAAGGAGAGGGAGAGAGAGAGATAGAAACATCAATGATGAGAGAGTCATTGATTGAGCCCACAACCCGGGCATGTGCCCTGACCGGGAATCGAACCCCGATCGCCTGGGTCCTCGGTTGACGCTCAACCGCCGAACCACGCCTGGCTGGGCTAAAGTTTTAATTATACATGGTTCTGGACCTTTTAATTACTGACCAGATAAATTCGTATTACTAAAAGTTACCAGAAATGTCATGGAACCACCCAGGTTTTCATCTGGAGTCAGGGTAGGAACTAGCCCCACTGAATAAATGTAAAGGGATGTACAGTCACTTTGGAAAATAACTTGGCAATTTCTTATAAAGTTAAGCATATATTTATCATACAATCCAGCAATCCCACTCCTAGACATTTATCCAAGAGAAATGAAAACTTTTCATTTACCCCAAATTCTGTATATGAATTTTTATAGGTGTTTTATTCATAATTGCCCAAAACTGGAAACAGCTCAAGTGTCCTTTACCTGGTAAATGGATTAAACAAATGTGGTGCTGCCATACAATAGAATAATACTAGTCAGTAAATAAGGAATGAATTACTGACACATGCAATAATACGGATGACTCTCAGATGAATTATGGTAAGTGAAAAAAGCCAGATTCAAAAGGTTACATACTGTACTTTGATTTATATGACATTCTGGAAAAAGTAAAACTACAGGGACAGCAAGATTAGTGTTTGCCATAACTACGCACTTGTCAAGATTCAGAACTGTACCCTAAAGAGGATGACTTTTAGAGGTGAATTGAAGTATATTTTGTATTTCCTTTAATTTTATTTATTTATTTATTTTGGTACTCATTGACTTTTTAAATAAAAAAGGTACAAAAATTTAAAAAGCAAAATGTACAGGGATGGGCTGCTTATTATGAAAGTTTTCCTTGGGTAAACAGTGGCTCAGTTATCCTTAAAATTAAAAATTATATAATTGTATCAACTAGAGGACTGTGAGTGCCTGAATATATATGCTCTACACAGCCCAGCTGGTGTGGCTCAGTGGTTGACCACTGACTTATGAACCAGGAGTTCGAGGTTCAATTCAAGGTCAGGGCACATTCCCAGGTTTTGGGCTCGATCCCCAGTGGGGATTGTGCAGGAGGCAGCCGATCTCTCATCATTTATGTTTCTACCTCTTTCTCTCTCTCCCTCTCTAAAATCAATAAGAAACATTTTAAAAAAATATGCCCTACACAATAAAAAAAAAGAGGCTGAATTTTATGGTGTTTACATTATACCAAACAATAAATAAAATCTATGAAACAAACAAAGAAAAAATCTCTGAAAACTGGAAATAGGGTCTCACTAAATTTGTAGGATTTAACAAGAGTAAGAAGTGGTTAGTTAGGTCAGGAGGGTATCTAATAGTTGAAGCTAGATATGGAATGGAGATAAGGGAAACATAATTCAAAGAAAAATGTATACATCATGTCCCAAGGGCTATAGTTATCAAATTAGCAATGTTATCCTTCAAAATAACCTAAGTTAATGAATTTAAACACTCCAAAAAAAAAAAATGTAAGGGAAAATGGGAGACAAAAATGAAGTTACTTTCTGATTATAACCTATAATTTATGAGTCATGCTTATTCAACTTAATGATTACATTTGGTTTGGTAACTTTTTTTCATGAACACATGCTCATGGTATATGATTTTATAGTTCATGCATTATGTAGTAATATTTTTGCTACTATTTTACTATATTATAGAATTTTAAATGTCATATTTCATGGTGTCTGCCACCTAAACAAATTTGTGAGTTAACACTACTTCTTAGCTCAGGACTTGGATTTTACCAGAATAAATCAGATTGCTCCTGTAAACTGTTTCACATTACAAGAGTTCAATTTTCTAAATTCTGAGTCTAGAACATTAAATAATTCTCTACCCTGAAGGAGATAATGCAGACTCCAAAACTCTTCGCTTCCACTTGAGTGATTTCCAATGGTTTAAGTGAGAATCTGGTTTAACAGAATTTGGAAAGGTAGATGCATGTCACCCATCTTCCCTATTCTTCAGTGTATCCTGGGATATAAGCACTTAATTTACCTCAAATTGGGCCTAGATATGACAACTGCATTTAAGATATGTTACTGAACCGTGAGGTGAACAAAAGCATTCTACTATGGTCTTTCTGGTACTTTCAATAATAAATCCCAGTAATAAAGGGTGGAATTCAAAGTGGGCTTATCTAGTGATAGATTAGGTTTCATGGTACTATAACTGGTTTCTTTGTTTATTTTATATTATTCCATAGTGACATCTGCAGGCCTCTGGAGAGAAACACTAACCGACTAATACTTTTGGTGACTCCCTGGTGCTGTAAGAGAAAGTCAAGTTGCAGGGGGGAAAAGATATATGACCAAAGGCCAAATTATCAGAGTGCTTCCAGTCCTTAACTTACTGTGATTGAATGGATGCAAGAGATTTTCTGAAGGTAGACTGAACATCTAACTGGAGCAGCATAGGAATAGGTGGGTACCCACCCAGCTGGGCCCACAGTGAATGTATTGATGTCTTCTCAGTTATTGGGTAGCTTGAAGTGGACTGATCAGCATTCCAGATGGCTTCCATCTGGTCTTCTTGTCTAGAGAGTCAGAGAGCACAAACTGAAAGCGGGAAATTTGCCTGCACTCCATAGCCAATCAAAATATATGATTCTTACTCTCCCATCTTTTCTTCCCACCACCACCCTGTCCTATAATGCCCTCCCTCACACTGAGGAACATTAGCCATGCCCACTTTGACTGAGAAATGGGTTAAAAACAGCATAATTTGCTGAAATAGCACCCCCCCCTCCCAAAGCTGCATTTCCATGACTTAACTTAGTAATCCACTTTAAAACTACCTCCTTAGCTGCCTGGAATACTGTACCTGGACCATATCCAGGCTACTTTTTTTCTTTTTTCCCAGCGACAATCTTCTTCCTCTTCCTTCCCAAAGCTCCTACCTTCTTCTTCTTTTTCTAAAAGTAATACTTCTAAGTTTCCTTATTGTGTATTTGTTGCTTAGTAAGGAAGAATCAGCTTTTTTTTTTTAAAGGAACTCAAAGTTAGAAGTTAAATATTTAAGTAGAAATATATGTAGCTAAGCCTCTTGCTAAATTAGCTAAGNTAAAGGAACTCAAAATTAGAAGTTAGATATTTAAGTAGAAATATATGTAGCTAAGCCTCTTGCTAAATTAGCTAAGAAAATTAATAATCCTTAGACTCTCCACTGTACTGTATAATAATTGTGGGGAAGGGGAAGACCTTGGACAGGAAAAAAAAAAAGCATTAGGTCCCACATATCATCCAAAGAAAATTTAATGTCAGTCTTTCCTACCACATACCTAAATTTCTTGAATATGTCAGACTTTCTCTCCTCTTTTATTGGTAGCTCTAGGAATGGCCATTGAACAAGTTTTGTAGGGGCAGGTTTCTGCTTTCTGTCGATGATCAAAGGTTGGCTCAGATTCAATTTATACATCTCTTGGAGCTAAAAATAAATCAAAAAGGAAACAATGAAAAGAAAGGGCCAGAGTGTTCAGGAAGGTCGTCTGAGCCGGCTGTAGCTAAACTATGACTCTTCCTTTACCACGGGTTTGCAAATCCTCTTTCTCCATTCCCTTCCTCCCCTTCTCCAGCCACTCCTCGACCCCCACCCCACCTCCAGCACAGGATTTCAGAGCGGGCAGCTCTGATATATGTAAACCTTGGTCCCACATAAGCTCTGATCCTAGCCCTTTTATTTCCGAGCTGTGTGCCTTTGAGCTAGTTGCTCATTTTACCTGCACCTCTTTCTCCTCATTTCTCAGACAAAGATAAATAACAGGGTTGTTGTGAGGACTGTATAACAATATATATGGAAGCATGTCGTAAATTGTAAGCACTATGCAAATGCAATGATAGCTAACATTTACTGAATACTTACTGAATGTCAGATGCTTTCTATACAATAATTAATTTGGTATTTACAACAAGCTTATGAGATAGGTACTATATAATCCTTTTCTTACATGTGGGGATCTGGAACTCAGAAAATTTAAGGGCCTTGCCCAGGTCTCTTAGTATGTAGTGAAGATGATTTGAGCCCACACAATCTAGTAGCAGAACCAACCTCTTGACCACCACCCTGACTCAGTGAAAGGTATTTATTTCATTTCTACCCTTTTCTCTCTTACTTTTCCCTCCCCCTTCTTTATGCCTTGATACCCACCTTATCATCTAGATTATGGCTGCCTGGACCCCAGACCCCCATTCATCCTCTGAAATGCCCTACACACTGTGATTCCTGTTAGTCAGTTCCTGACACTGCCAATTCATCTTGCTTTACATTTATATTGGCCACATTTTCCAAAACAAAAACTGTCAAAAATGCCCATTTTTTTCAAGAGCTTTAATATTTAAAATGTAACCCTTCTGGGAAATTCAGAATATGTCTGATTTGAATCAGGCTATGACGAGAAGTCTCTGTACCTTCTAAAGTAACAAGTAAACTGATCTTGTTAATTAAATTAATTTAGTGAAAGAAAAGGATATGTAGATGCAAAAGTTTCCTAGAACTCCAAGAATGTTCCAGAAATTCATGCTAGAACATGTAATGGAAGCATGTAATCCCAGAGCAAAGTTACCTTTATAACTTTTTGGAAGGTCATCTCAGAGGGGGCTCTGGGACATAATGAGCAGATTATTAGAGTTTAACAGGATTTTCTGTGCCTGGTGCTGTGTAAGCAAGTTAAATAAATCCTTATCTGCTTTCTTGTAAACTCACCATATTAAAACTTGTTTTCTGATAATCGTGAAGAGAGAAGTAACCACCATGAATCAGTTGGAGAGTAGTGGATCCAAGAGGTTTCATATTTAGAGGCTGGCAGGTTTGGGTTGACTAGGAAGGAGTTGAACACTTATGGAAGTCTCTCCTATTCTAATCTTTTCTCATCTAGAGAACCCAGCCAGTATTCCTATTGTCAATTTAGGAGTTTCACTGAAGTCACAGTGTAACTGGTTGAATGGCGAACCCCCCAGAAGATATGTTCACCCTGAACCTGTGAATGTGACCTTACTTAGAAAAAAGGTCTTTACAGATGTAATTAAGTTAAGGATCTAAAGATGAGATCATTCTGGATTAACCAGGTGGGTCCTAAATCCATGACACATGACTTTGTAAGATTCAGAAGTGAAGACATAGACAAACTGGGAAAAAGGCCACGGGAAAGACGAATGCAGAGATTGGAGTTATGCAGCTACAAGCCAATGAAATCCAAGGATTGTCTATAGCCACCAGAATCTAGGAGAGAAACATGGGATAAATCTCTCCCTAAGAGCCTCCAGAAGGAACCAACTTCATCTTGATTTCACAAACTGGCCTCCAGAACTGTAAGGGAATACATTTCTATTGTTTTAAGCTGTCTGTAGCAGCCCTAGGAAACCAATATACAAGGTATCTCCAGGTAAATGTTATTTTCAAAGCTTACCACTTTTATTTTTCTTATAACACACTGGGGAGAGGGGATAGAAAACAGGTTACCTGGCTAAATAAGGACATCATTTTCCCCAGGCACCAATTCCGTTTTTGTTCTAGAGACTTCTGCTTCTTGGTCCAGGTCCCCAACACCTTTTTCTGGTACTCATCAATTCTGCACAGCATTCTGTAAAGGTTCTGGATCTCATAACCTTTCCCACTGTTTTGGATGGCTTGTAATTGTTTGATTATGTTGTTTCTTGAAAAAATTAACAAGAATTAGATATAATTCCTGACCTTAACTCAGCAAACCTGGCCTCAGTTACTTCAATTCTCATCTCATCCTTAGTAAGTAGAGAGTAATGGGATAGGGGTAGGACCTTGATTAACGAGACCTTAATCTAGTTCCACATACTATGACTAAACTTTTAAAAATCTATATGACTGTCAAATTTTCATTAACTCTTCATAGTTTAGTGTTATAATAGTGTTGTTTATTATTTATTTTAATACATTAAAATGTTAGTATCGATATATACAAGACATACAGAAGGTACATAATGCAATTATAAAAAAGACAGTGTCCTTGCCTTCAAAGCACTTACAAGCCAGAATAGAATGCTAATAAATTAACTGTGTCAAAGAGAGAATGAAACAGATGCTAAATAGAAATGTAAACATGATGTTTGAGCAAAAAGGAATGCATAGTTAATTCTAGTAAGAGGAATAAGGAAGTTCTTTATAGGACAATGTTGAATAGGACCCTGAGGAATAGTCCTAAGAGGGTTCTCTCTCTCTACCATAATGTATATCACCGTGTTTGGGTCTCCTGAACAGAGAGTGTTTCTCCATCCCCACACTACAGGGGAGGAATTGGAATCTGAGCAAAGTAAAATCATATTCTAAGGTGACATAATAAATAAATTGCAGATTTGGGAAGCAAACCCGGATCTTCTCCCTTGTCACAATACCAATATTTCTCAAAGTGTGGACTGTATCATTTGTGGGGGAGGGGAGGATGCTTGTTGAAAATACAGATTCCAAAGTGCTTCCCCAGACCTTTTGAATCAAACTATCGGTAGTAGGCTTCAAGATCTGTATTTTAAACAGAATCTCAGGTAAATCTTAAGTTTGTGAAGAAGGGGATGAGGAATTCCAGGTTGAGGGAATACTATATACAAATGCAAGAAAATAGAATGTTTTATTTTGGAAGTGGTAAGAAATCTGGGACTTTTAGACCTCAGATATATGAAAGGATATTGTGGGGGAGGAGACTGGAATGACTGGGTTATGAAAGGCCTTAAAGGGCATGTTAAGGAGTTTGGATTTTTTGGGCAGGGGTTGGCAAGGAGAACCACTGAAGATATTTTTCTGAACATATGTATTTTGCATACATTTATACACATAGAAAGAGAGAGGAAACAACTCTTAGGTCTCTTTTGTGGGTTATAATTAATAGTTTAGAACCTACTGTATATATGGATCATTTAATACTTAAATGTATCAACTTTCTGAGTTAACTTAGTGTATTTTAATTAAAGAATTTTACAATAGCCTTGGACTTTTCTTTCATATCCTATAGGTGATCTTTATTTTTATATTTTTCACTTATAACCATCTTTAGTATATGTGTTTTTAATCACTTCTCCACATGCATCACAGAATGCCTATCACATCCATTCCCATAAATAACACAGTTCTCAATGAAGCAAGTGGGTGAGCATTCTTATAACCAGCTTTTATACTGTTCAAAAATAGTTAATATTATTATACTTCATATTTTCTCTCCCATATAATGTTAGAATCTTCTTGACCTAACTATTCTTGTTATGGAATCTTTAATCTATCAATATTTTATTCCTTGTTACACCTTTTGGTGATTTGATTATTATAATATTAAATATTAAAGGAGCTTTCTGGGGAAAAATGAATTGATCTTTAATGGGATTAAAGTTATAATTGTATAAGTTGAATATTGTTACAAAATGTTGATCTATATATTTCAATTTTTAAATGATTTTACTGAAGCAGGTCAGATCATTTCACTTAGGTCTTTAAAATCTCCAATAAGTCTAAACAAACTAATTGCCTTATAAAACCTGAGAAAGTTTCTAAGAACTCCCCTCCAAAAGTGCCAAGCCTATATAATATCATAGTCGTGAAATCTGCCAAACCTTAAAAGAACAACTAATTTTAGTATTAAATTGCCAAGCATAGAAAAAGATAAATTTGCACATTTTGTAATGATAGAAGCATAAAACCATACCAAAAATTGACAAAGATAGCACCAAAAGAAGTAAACCACCAATCAAGCTTACTAATTCATATTGATCCAAAAAAAAAACACCCACTAAATAAAATATTAGCAAGCAAATTTCATAACACATTCAAAGAAGGATACACCAAGGACAAATAGGATTTATTCCAGGAATGCAATAATGGGTTAATATAATTAATTATATTAATAGATCTGAGGAGAAAATATATTCTTTAATACATATGAAAATGACATGCCAAAATCATATTTAACAAAATGTGATTTAACAAATTTAACATAATTCAACATCCATTCTTGATTTTTTAAAAACATAATGAAACAGAAACAAATGTACACTTTAACATGACAAAATGTACTTCAACCCAAAACCCAGCATTTTTTTTTTTACTGACAAACACTAGAAAGATATTCACTATCACCATTATCTTTTTAACCAATTTATACTTATATTTTAATAAGTAGCAATGAAGAAAGAACTTATATTTTGGCAACCCGAGTTACACAGGAATGGAGAAAAAAAGAACAAAAAAAGAAACTGACTAAGGTTAGGCACATTTTGCAATTTTTTCAGAAAAGAGAGTATCAATGTCAGGGATCCTTTAAACACACTTGAATATGAACTTTTCTTAGAAAAAAATAACGAGGCCATGGAAAGGCATTCATAGTTGTTATTCAGGGCAATCATAAATAAAGATTGCCTTGTAGCCATATCACTGATATATTTTTTTAATGTACTCTTTTTCTAAAAAAATATATCTTTACTGATTTCAGAGAGAGGAAGGGAGAGGGAGAGAGATAGAAACATCAATGATTAGAGAGCCATTGATCAGCTGCCTCCTGCACGCCCCTCCCCCCACTGGGTATCGAGCCCGCAACCTGGGCATGTGCCCTGATCAGGAATCAAACCTCAATCTCCTGGATCCTAGGTCAATGCTCAACCACTGAGCCATGCTGGTTGGACACCAATATTTTATAACAGAGTCCTGGAGGTACCAACCAATTCAGGTAGTCAAGAGACAGAAATTAAATATTTAAAAATTGGAAATCTAAATGTAAAAAATTATTATCAGTAGGTGAGATGATTACATACCTGTAGAACTCAAGAATATCAATCAAAAAATGGCAGAAAACTTCCCTAACCTGGTGAAGGAAAAAGGCACACAGGTTCTGGAGGCACAGAGACTTCCAAGGAAAAAGAATCCAAAAAGGCCCACGCCTAGACATATCATAATTAAAATGTCAAAAATCCAAGACAAAGAATCTTAAAGGAAGCTAGAGAAAAGCAAACTGTAACCTACAAAGGAGACCCCATAAGGCTGTCATCTGACTTCTCATCAGAAAGTCTACAGGCCAGAAGGGAATGGCATGAAGTATTCAAGCTAATGCAAAACAAGGATCTGAAACCAAGACTACTCTATCCAGCAAGATTATCAATCAAGTTGGTCAGTGAAATAAAGAGCTTTTGAGACAAAAAAAGGTTAAAAGACTTTATCACTACAAAACCAGCATTGCAGGAAATGTTAAAGGGACTGCTATAATTAGACGTAGAAATAAAGAGAATGAGAAACAGCTATAAAGAAACAAAATGTTAGTAGATAAGTATCTTTCAATAATAACCTTACATGTAAATGGATTAAATGCCCCAATAAAGAGATATAGGGTGGCTGAATGGATAAGAAAACATGTCCCAACTATATACTATCTACAAGAGATCCATCTCAGAACAAAAGACTTATACGGGATGAGAGTGAAGGGATGGAAAAAAATTTTCCATGCGAATGGAAGTGAAAAAAAAGCTGGGGTAGCAATACTAATATCAGACAAAATAGACTTCAAAATGAAGACCATAACAAGAGACAAGAAAGGTCATTACATAATACTAAAGGGATCAATCCAGCAAGAGGATATAACCCTGATAAACATATATGCACCCAATATAGAAGCACCTAAATTTATAAAAAAAAAAACTTCTAGAGGTCTTTAAGGGAGAGATCGACAGGAATACAATCATACTTGGGGACTTTAACACCCCATTGACTTCACTGGATAGGTCTTCCAGACAAAAAATCAACAAGGAAACAGCGACCCTAAGTGACACACTAGATCAGATGGATTTAATCAACATGTACAGAACATTCTACCCCAAAGATGCAGAATATACATTCTTCTCAAATGCACACAGGACGTTCTCATAGACCACATGTTAGGACACAAGTATAAGTTAAAGAAGACTGAAATCATATCAAGCGTCTTCTCAGATCACGATGGCATGAAACTAGAAATCAATTACAATAAAAACACTAAAGGACATTTAAACACATGGAGACTGAAAAGCATGTTTTAAAACAATGAATGGATTACCAAAGAGATCAAGAAAGAAATAAAAAACTTCCTGGAAACAAATGAAAATAAACACACAACAACTCCAAATCTATGGGACACAATGAAAGCAATCTTGAGAGGGAAGTTTACAGCACTACAAGCCTACCTCAAAAAACAAGAAAAACTTCTAATAAACTCTTTAACCCTACAACTCAAAAACTTAGAAAGGGAACAATAAGAAAAGCCCAGAGTAAGTAGAAGGAAAGAAATAATAAAGATTAGAGCAGAAATAAATGACATAGAGACTAAAAAAAAAATACAAAAGATCAATGAAATCAAGAGCTGGTTCTTTGAAAAGATAAACAAAATTGATGAACCTTTAGCCAGGCTCATCAAGAAACAAAGAGAGAGGACCCAAATAAACAAAATCAGAGACAAAAGAGGTGAAATAACAACTGACCCAACAGAAATATAAAGGATTGTAAGAAAATACTATGAACAACAATATACCACCAAGCTGGACAACCTGGATGAAATGGATGAATTCCTAGAAAAATACAACCTTTCAGAACTCAATCAAGAAGAGTCAGAAAGGAGGCAAGAACATACAATGGAGTAAAGACAGTCTTTTCAATAAATGGTGTTGGAAAAATTGGACAGATACATGCAAAAAAATGAAACTAGGCCACCAACTTACACCATACACAAAAGTAAATTCAAATGGATAAAAGTCTTAAATGTAAGACATGAAACCATAAAAATCCTAGAGGAAAACATAGGCAGTAAAATCTCAGACATCTCTCATAGCAATATGTTTGCTGATACATCTTCTAGGGCAAGAGGAACTAAGGAGAAAGTAAACAAATGGGACTGCATCAAAATAAAAAGCTTCTGCACAGCAAAGGAAACCATCAACAGAACGAAAAGGGGGCCCACTGTATGGGAGAACATAATTTGCCAACAATACATCAGATAAAGGGTTAATATCCAAAATATGTAAGGAATTCATACAACTTAATAAAAGGAAGACAATCCAATTGAAAAATGGGCAATGGACCTAAATAGACACTTCTCCAAAGAGGACATACAAATGACTAAGAGACATATGAAAAAATGTTCAACGTTGCTAATCATTAGAGAGATGCACATTAAAAACACAATGAGGTATCACTTCACACCTGTCAGAATGGCTACCATCAATGAACTACAGGTGCTGGCGAGGGTGTGGAGAAAGGGCGCCCTAGTACACCGCTGGTTGGAATGCAGACTGGTGCAGCCACTATAGAAAGCAGTATGGAGTTTCCTCAAAAGATTAAAAATTGACCTGCCATTTGACCCAGTGATCCCACTTCTAGGAACATATCCTAAGGAACCTCAAACACCAATCGCAAAGAACTTATGCACCCCTATGCTCTTATCAGCGCAATTCACAATAGCTAAGATTTGGAAACAGCCCAAGTTCCCATCAGTATATGAGTGGATAAAAATGCTGTGGCACATTTCCACCTTTGGCCTTTGGCACAGCATGGAGGGAACTAGAAAGTATTATGCTAAGTGAAATGAGCCAGTCAGAAAAGGACAAGTACCAAATGATCTCGCTTATATGTGGAATATAATAAACAAAATAAACTGATGAACAAAGTGGATCCAGTAACATAGAAGCTTGGAACAAACTGAGGGATCTCAGAGGGAAGGCGGGGAGAGGGGTGCGGGTGGGGAGAGATTAATCAGGGAACTTGTATGTTTATGGGCATGGCCCATGGATGTGGACATTGGTGTGGGGAGGTCCTGGGGGTGGGATGGATGTGGGGTGGAGGGGATCAGTGGAGTTAAAAGGGGGACATCTGTAATGGTCTCAACAATAAACATTAAAAAAAAAAGAAATTCAGAATAATTGGAAGCATCTCTAAACTTTTGAAGTAGATATTTTGGAGATCAGTCATGAACCACAAAAATATAGATAAAATGGATCATGTTATATGATATTTCTTATTTCCTAAAAAATATCTTTTGCTATCTTAAATAGGCTTCCATCCCATAGACCTTCCATAAGAGAATCTTTTAGAACATCTGATCTAACAAATATGTGTGTACTTATAGGGCAATGAGGGAGGATATTTGAAATCAGGACTAAACCAGAAATCTGGACATGTAATAGTACATCTACCTTGCACGTTGGATCAGCCTATACGCAATGTACTTGCGGAATAGGTATCCCAGCCGAACTGTGTCTGTGTGAAGTGTCTCAATTATGAGATTTATAGCTGTTGTATGTAGCTCTGAAGGGAGTCCAGAAGTTTTTGTGGTCTGATTTAAAAGTATCAGGTTCTTCCTCTGAGCCTTCACATCAACAAAATACTTCTGCTCTTGGGGCTCTTGGGAAGAGGAAGGGGGTACCATGATCTTGGGTTTCTTGGTATCTGAAACTGAAGTCAGTAAGCAGGGCTTGTTTATAGGAGGGAATCGGGATTTCCAGTCCCATTCAGAAGGTGAAATCTGTGATCTTTTGGGTAGTTTAGTAGTAAGAGAAGGTAGTGATGTTATAGTCTTCATGAGAGTGGGAAGGGCCCCCTCATCAATGTAAGGGGTTTGTGATATTGGTGTCCTATAATTGGTGAGATAGGACTGAAATGTCCTAAATTGTTCCATGGCAAAAGAATTGTGAAGTATCTGGATTTCTTCAGAAGTGTCAGAGACCTCTGATATTTGTAACTTCTTAGTGGTGAAAGGGGCTTGAGGTACCTTGAAATTTGGAGCACTGGGATCGACAAATGCTGACTTAGATTTCAGAGAAGAAATAATTGCCAATCTTTCCTTACTTTTCTTAGAGGCAGAAGACGACAAATCTTTCTGGGGCTTTCCAGGGGCTGAGGGGGCAGATAGTATTGGGGGATGCCCAGGGGTGGGAGAGTTCCATAGTGGGAAAGCTTGCCCAGGAAGGGCCCGTGGTGCCAGAAGCTGCCCAAGGGTAGAAGGGGCTTGTAGATAGGGAGATTGCTCACAGGTGTCAGGGAGCTGAAATGCCTGGGGCTGCTCAGAGAGGGTTAAGAATCCAGATTCCATGAGCTCCCCAGGGATAGGAGAGGCCCCAGAAACCAAGGGTTTCCGAGGAGAGAGAGGATCCCAGAGGCTGGCAATCTGTGAGGAGATGGGTGTAACTCCAGATATAAGGGGCTCCCTGGGGGCATGAGGAACCTTTGATATCAGAGGTGCCTGGGGAGTCAGAGTGTCCCTAGGTATGAGTAACTGCCTAGAGCTAAGAAGGGAATCTGGTATAAGAGGCTGCCCTGGAGTGGGAGGGGCCCCAGATATTGGGAGCTTCTTCGGTGTGGGAGGGACCTCTGATGCTAGGAACTGCACAGAGGTGGATTCACCCTTAGAAACCAGTGTCTCTCTAGAGGGAGGAAAAGTTTGTGGTGTCAGGAGCTTCCTAGGGTCAGAAGGAATCCCTATTACCAGGGATTTCCCAGGGATAAATGGGGTTTGGCTAAGATGAGGCCTTGATATCTGCAAAGGAGTAGAAGGGTCCTCAAAGATAGGGGACTTCTCAGCAATAGGAGCAGATGAATCCAGGGACCACATAGTTCTTGATGTAATGGATTGCCCAGAGGGGAGAGAAGTCTTTGAATCTTGAAGTGGTTTAAGAGTGGAAGGCACCAATGTGGGGGACTGCTTAGGAATGTGAGGAGCACTTGGTTTGATGGGTTTATCAGTAATAGAAAAGATCCCAGCTTCCAGGGTATGTCCTGAAGAGGGACCAGCTCTTGATTTTAGGCCCTGCTTAGACATGGGAGTAATACCCATGGGCTGAGCCTGTCTTGGGGTGAAGGGAGCTCCCAGAAGTTGAACTTGCTTAGGGATGAGGGTGATACCCACTGCCGGGGCTTGTTCACTGGTACGTGTGATATCCCAGATCTGTGCTTCCTCAGGAGTAAGAGTGAACGCCAGTTCCTGTGGCTGTTCTGGAAGAGCGTCGTGCAATGCCTCTGTCTGCTGTGGTATGGTAGTGACTCCAGATGCCTCATCCTGTCCTTGAGTGATAGGGACACCAAATATCTGGGCCTGCTCAGTAGTTACAGGGATCTGCATTGCCCAGCTCTGGTCTTGATTTGGGGTAATAGGGGCCCCCAATGTCCAGTCTTGTTGGAGAATGACAGGAGCCCTCAATGCTTGGACTTGTTCATGTGAGAGTGTGACTCCCAAACCCTGGAATTTTTCAGAAGTGACGGTAACCAACAATGCCTTGAATTGCTCAGGGGTGAGAGTAATGTCCTGTGCCTGGGCCTGCTGAGGGGAAAGAGTGATGCCCTGGGCTTGGGCCTGCTGAGGGGTGACAGTGATGTCCTGGGCCTGAGCCTGCTGAGAGGAAAGAGTGATGACCTGGGCCTGGGCCTGCTGAGGGGTGAGAGTGATGTCCTGGGCCTGAGCCTGCTGAGAGGAAAGAGTGATGCCCTGGGCCTGGGCCTGTTCAGGGGTGACAGTGATTCCCTGGGCCTGGGGCTGCTTAGGGGAAAGAGTGATGCCCTGGGCCTGGGCCTGGGCCTGCTGAGGGGAAAGAGTGATGCCTTGGGCCTGGGCCTGTTCAGGGGTGACAGTGATTCCCTGGGCCTGGGCCTGCTTAGGGGAAAGAGTGATGCCCTGGGCCTGGGCCTGGGCCTGGGCCTGCTGAGGGGTGAGAGTGATGCCCAGTGCCTGGGATTGCTGAGGGGTGAGAGTGACGCCCTGGGCCTGGGATTGCTGAGGGAAAAGAGTGATGCCCTGGGCCTGGGCCTGGGCCTGCTGAGGGGAAAGAGTGATGCCTTGGGCCTGGGCCTGTTCAGGGGTGACAGTGATTCCCTGGGCCTGGGCCTGCTTAGGGGAAAGAGTGATGCCCTGGGCCTGGGCCTGGGCCTGGTCCTGGTCCTGGTCCTGGTCCTGGGCCTGCTGAGGGGTGAAAGTGATGCCCAGTGCCTGGGCCTCTTCAGGGGTGACAGTGATTTCCTGGGCCTGGGTCTGCTGAGAGGTAAGAGTGATGCCCTGGGCCTGGGCCTGTTCAGGGGTGACAGTGATTACCTGGGCCTGGGCCAGGGCCTGCTGAGGGGAAAGAGTAATACCCAGTGCCTGGGCCTGTTCAGGGATGATAGTTATCCCCTGTGTTTGGGCCTGCTGAGGGGTGACAGTGGTTCCCAGTGCCCTGTCCTGCTGAGGGATGAGACTTATCCCCTGGGCCTGGGCCTGCTGAGGGATAACAGTGACCCCAAGTGCCTGGGACTGCTCAGGTGTGAAGTGGATCCCCAGTTCCTTAGCCAGCTCAGGGATGACAGTTATCCCCTGAGCCTGGGCTTGCTGAGGGGTGAGAGTGATGCCCTGGGCCTGGGCCTGGGCCTGGGCCTGCTGAGGAGTGAGAGTGATGCCCTGGGCCTGGGCCTGGGCCTGCTGAGGGGTGAGAGTGATGCCCTGGGCCTGGGCCTGCTGAGGGGTGAGAGTGATGACCTGGGCCTGGGCCTGCTGAGGGGTGAGAGTGATGACCTGGGCCTGGGCCTGCTGAGGGGTGAGAGTGATGACCTGGGCCTGGGCCTGCTGAGGGGTGAGAGTGATGACCTGGGCCTGGGCCTGCTGAGGGGTGAGAGTGATGACCTGGGCCTGGGCCTGCTGAGGGGTGAGAGTGATGACCTGGGCCTGGGCCTGCTGAGGGGTGAGAGTGATGACCTGGGCCTGGGCCTGCTGAGGGGTGAGAGTGATGCCCAGTGCCTGGGCCTGCTGAGGGGTGAGAGTGACGCCCTGGGCCTGGGATTGCTGAGGGGTGAGAGTGATGCCCTGGGCCTGGGCTTGCTGAGGGGTGAGAGTGACGCCCTGGGCCTGGGATTGCTGAGGGGTGAGAGTGATGCCCAGTGCCTGGGCTTGCTGAGGGGTGAGTGTGACGCCCTGGGCCTGGGCTTGCTGAGGGGTGAGAGTGGTGCCCTGGGCCTGGGCTTGCTGAGGGGTGAGAGTGACGCCCTGGGCCTGGGATTGCTGAGGGGTGAGAGTGATGCCCTGGGCCTGGGCTTGCTGAGGGGTGAGAGTGATGCCCTGGGCCTGGGATTGCTGAGGGGTGAGAGTGATGCCCTGGGCCTGGGCTTGCTGAGGGGTGAGAGTGACGCCCTGGGCCTGGGATTGCTGAGGGGTGAGAGTGACGCCCTGGGCCTGGGATTGCTGAGGGGTGAGAGTGACGCCCTGGGCCTGGGATTGCTGAGGGGTGAGAGTGACGCCCTGGGCCTGGGATTGCTGAGGGGTGAGAGTGACGCCCTGGGCCTGGGATTGCTGAGGGGTGAGAGTGACGCCCTGGGCCTGGGATTGCTGAGGGGTGAGAGTGACGCCCTGGGCCTGGGATTGCTGAGGGGTGAGAGTGACGCCCTGGGCCTGGGATTGCTGAGGGGTGAGAGTGACGCCCTGGGCCTGGGATTGCTGAGGGGTGAGAGTGACGCCCTGGGCCTGGGATTGCTGAGGGGTGAGAGTGACGCCCTGGGCCTGGGATTGCTGAGGGGTGAGAGTGACGCCCTGGGCCTGGGATTGCTGAGGGGTGAGAGTGACGCCCTGGGCCTGGGATTGCTGAGGGGTGAGAGTGACGCCCTGGGCCTGGGATTGCTGAGGGGTGAGAGTGATGCCCTGGGCCTGGGCTTGCTGAGGGGTGAGAGTGACGCCCTGGGCCTGGGATTGCTGAGGGGTGAGAGTGATGCCCTGTGCCTGGGCCTGCTGAGGGGTGAGAGTGATCTCACGTGCCTGACCCTGTTCTTGGGTAATAGGTTCCCTCCAAATCTGTGCCTGTTCTGCCGTTAATGGGATATGCACTGCCCGGGCTTGTTCTAATGTAAGAGATGCCTTCAATGACTGGTTCTGCTCAGGAGTAACAGGGCTCCTCAATACTTGTGCCTTGTGATGTTTAAAAGGGATTTTCAGTTTGGGGATTTGTCCAAAAGTGAGGGGAATCCTCAATGCCTGTGCCTGCTCAGGTGGATGGGTTACTCCCAACCCCTGAGACATCTTAGGTGCAGGGGTGCCTCCAAATGCCTGAACCTGCTGAGAGGGGGAAGTAATTCCCAGTGCCTGGGCCTCCTCGTGAATGGCAGCGATGGACTGTGTAGAAGACTGTCCCGAAATAGAAAAGGGCCCGGGTGAGGCAGGCTGTGTGGAGGTGGAAGGAGTGACGGGTGTGGAGTGCTCTTCTTCATCAGCAAGATTCGCACGCAACTCTTTTCTTTTGTGTAAGTAGGATGCATCTTTCCACACGTTCTTCCACCTGGGCAACAATGTCATCGAATCACTGCTTAACACATTTTCTAGTTCTTCGGCCTTGGTCTTCATCTGCTTCTCTCTCATTGGCTTCTGCCTCTCTTCCTCCTTCTGACTGCTTACCAGCTCCAGACGTTTCACTTCCTTCTGAACCTTCTGCAGTCCCTTCTCCCCCTCCAAGGACACTCCTTGTTCTTTCATTTTTTGCCTCCATGCTTCCAGATGCTGCTGCTTTTGCTTCTGCTGCTCTTCCTCTTCTTTCGTTCCCTTTTGCCTCACATCTTGCTCAATCTGCTTTTGCAGCCTCTGTTTTTGCTGTTCCTTCCACAGTATTTCCTGCCACTGATTCGGCTTCTGTTGCTCCATCTGGAGCCATGCTTTTTCCTTCTCCAAGTTCTTATTTACCATCTCATCTATCTTCCTGAGATAACTTTCTTCTTTCAGCTGGTGTTTACGATTCATATCAAAACTTTTTTTTTGAACCTCTAGCAAATATTCCTCCTGCCTTTGTTTTTCCTTCTCCTTGTGGTCTCTCCCTGCTATTGAGGCTACTGGAGCATCTGTTTCGCTTTCTATTTCAGTCAAGATCATTTGTGTTAAATTGTGTATTACTGGGTCCGTGCTCTCAGATAAGATTAAGGAGCTAATTTCAGACTCTGCACTAATTGGCTTCTGTACATGCACTGGCATAAATGAGACTACCTTTTTTTGTTTCATAGGTTTCTCTCCAACTTTTCCTACACTCTTTATGTCTTTGTATTTTCTCAAGATTTTTGTCACAATTCCAGCCACATTTTGGAAATATTCCTCCATTTTTGCCTTTATGACTCCTAATTTTTCAACTTCTGCTTTTTTAGATAATAACTCCTCTTCTGGCACAGTCTTTTTGTCCAAAGCGTTTCCTGTGTTATCGATTTTCTCTTTTAAGAAAGACATTATGGCTTTATGAAATTCTTCTAGATTACTCTGTTCACTTTGGCCATCTGGACTTCCTAGAACTTTAGAAGATTCTGAAGTCTCTTTTGTTTTCTTAGATTGTGATTCAGCAAGTTCATCAGACTTGAACTTCTTGGTAAAGACTGACACGTCCTTCTCTTCGGTTTTTCTTTCTTTGCTTGTGGTAGTTTCTGGAGAAATTTCATGTTTCTTTTCTTTTCTTTTTACTTTCTCAGGGAAATTATCAAGTTGGATTGACCTGAATGGCTCTGCTTGGATACTCATATCACTTTTCTCTTTGTCCATTCTCTCTGAAGAAATCTGGCTTTTTTCAAGTATATATTCAGGTTTGACCTTCCTCTTACTACTTGTTCCACTTTTGCCACCTTGGCTCTTTGAGTCAGTAGAAAGGAAATCAGCAGGAATATGTTGACTTTTTGATTCAGTGAATGACTTTGATTTGGCTTCAGAAAGGAATTTTATTTCTTTACTCTTCTTTCCCAGTGCTTGTAGCTCAAAGTGGTAATCAGATTTGGTCTCCAAGACTGTCTGTTTACCTTTATGATCACTCAGATTTGATCTTGAGGTCTCATATTCTTCTGGGCCTTTTGTGCCCTTAACTTTCTGTGATTGATACTGATCAGTTCCATCTTTCTGATAGACATCACCTTTCTTCAGTGATGTCTTATCTTCAGTGATAGCTTTGAAAGGCATTTTCTGGAGTTTTTTAGGTAAAGGGGATTGCCTTTCAGTGAAATCTGGAATCGTTTCAACTTGGGTTGTTTGTGAAACAGTTGAGTCCCACTTGATCCCTGAGCCTATGGTCTCTCTTCTTTGGGCCCCATCCATACTGTTTTCAAATTCTTTGGCCAAAATATTGCCTATATTGTCTTCTGTATCAATCATGCTAAAGACCATGGATGATTTCGGAGAAAGCTCGGGTAGTACTTTCAAGGCTGATGTAGGTGATAATTTGAATCGAATAAGCTGCTCATATTTTTCTTCTGCATCTTGAAGTTTCTGCTGAAGCTTTTCATTTTCTTCACTGAGATCTTTTATTATCTTCAGGGAGAGCTCTTTTACTCTTTCACTTGTCTCATTTATATACACATTGTTATTTTGAAGGTTCATAGCTTTTACTTCATTATTTAGTGAACTCAATGCTTTAAAAAGGTTTACCATTGTTGATGATATATATTTAATAGCATTGTTTTCCAATTTATTGAACATTGCAGTGCCTATGAGTTCCTGTAGCATACCTTGGATTTCTGAAACCTTTGTATTTGTTGCAAATTCATCACTAATCATCTGATTTGGTGTTAAAGCATGGGCTGTTGCTGGTCGCTTTATAACTCTTTCTTTCCAAGATTTCCACAGAGTATCTCTAAATGCTAGAAGAAGAAAAACCGTAAAACACAAAATTATGAGATGATATTTCTTTTTTGTGTGTGTTGTGTTCTATCTATGGTTAAGCCTAAGGAAGTTAGAATAAATTAACAAATAGCTAAAGGAAACAACTATGATGATATTTGCTCATCAAATACAGCATATCAATAAAGAGATGGAAATTAGAAAAACCAAGTCAAAAAAAATGGAGCTGAAGAGTATAATAACTAAAATGAAAAGTTAGCCAAAAGGGCTCAACAGTGGATTTGAACTAACAGAAGAAAATAACCAGAAAACTGGATGCTAGATTAGTAGAAGTTGTCTAACCTGAAGAACAGGGAGAAGAAAGAATAAAGAATAAAAAAAAGTGAACAAAGCCTCAGAGACTTGTGGGACACCATTAAGCATACTGATGTACAAATAATAGAAGGCCCAGAAGAAGAGGAGAGAGAGACATTAAAATTATCTGAAGAAGTGCCCTGGCCAGTGTGGTTCAGTTGGTTGAGCACTGTCCCATGCACTGAGAGGTCACTGGTTTGATTTCTGGTCAGGGCACATGCCTGGGTGCAGGCTCAGTTCCCAGTAGGGGGCATGCAGGAGGCAGCTGATTGATATTTCTCTGTCCTCCATGTTTCTCTCTATCCCTCTCCCCTCCTCTCTCTCCAAAATCCATAAAGACATATTTTTTAAAAGGTATTTGAAAAAGTAATGACCAAATCATCCAAACTTTTATGAGAAACATTATCTACACATTCAAGAAACTCAGCAAATTCCAAGTAGGACAAACACAAAATAATTCATACCTGCACGCATTAGAGTCAAACCATTGAAAGCCAGACTGATATATTCAAAGTGCTGAAAGAATTATACTGCTAATCAAGAATTCTTTATCTAGCAAAACTATTCAAAAAATGAAGGTAAGACATCCATTCCCTGAAATAACACTCTTCCCAAAGTAGCATGCATTTACAACTCTTATAACCATCTTTGTTGCATGTTTTTAAACATTTCTCTAAATGCATTACAAAATGTCTATAACATCCATTCCCTGAAATGGCACTCTTTTTAAAGTAGCACACATGTACAACTCTTATAAAAGGTAAAAAATAAGATATACAGAGGGCAAGTAAGCATATGAAAAGATGCTCAATATCATCTGTCATTAGACAATTGCAAATTACAACAAGATATTGTTATACACTTATTAAAATAGCTACAACCCAGAAAATTGATAATACCAAATGTTGACAAGGATATGGGGCAACAGAAACTCTTGTTTATTACTGGTGGGAATAAAAAAACAGTACAGTACTTGGAAATACAGTTTGGCAGTTTTTTACAAAGTTACTTACAAAGTAATGTAATCGTCTATGATCCAGCAATCATGCTCCTAGGTATTTACCCAATTAATTTGAAAACTTATGTCCACACACAAAACCTGCATGAGAATGTTTATAACAACTTTATTATCATTATCTTTTTAATCCTCACCCAAGGATATTTTTCCCATTGCTTTTCAGAGAGAATGGAAGGGGGAGAAGAGAGAGACACATCGATCGATTGCCTCCCGCACCAGCCCCAACCAGGGCGAGGGATCAACCCTGCAACTGAGGTATGTGCCCTTGGCTGGACTCAAATCCAGGACTGCAGTCCTGGGGCTGACGCTCTAACCCCTGAGCCAAATTGGCTAGGGCAACAACTTTATTCTTTTTTTAAAAAAAAAAAAAAAAATGTCTTCATTGATTTCAGAGAAAGGAAGGGAGATGGAGAGAGAGAGATAGAAACATCAATGATGAGAGAGTCATTGATCAGCTGCCTCCTGCATAGCCTCCTGCTGGGGATGGAGTCTGCAACCCGGGCATGTGCCCTCACCAGGAATCGAACCGCAATCTCCTGGATCATAGGTCGACACTCAACCACTGAGCCACGCCTGGCCGGTTAACTCAGTTGGTTAGAGCATGGTGCTGATAACAACTTTGTTCTTAAACACAAAAACCTGGAAGCAACCAAGATGTCCTTTAATAGGTGGATAAACAAATTGTGGTACATCTATACAATGGAACATTATTCAGCAATAAAAATAAATAAGTTATTAAGCCACAAAAAGATATGGAGGAACATTAAATGTATATTGCTAAGAGATAGAAAACAGTCTGAAAAAGCTAGATACTGCATGATTCCAATTATATGGCATTCTTGAAAAACATTTTTAAAAATCAGTGATTGTTGCCCAGCTGGCGTGGCTCAGTGGATTGAGTGTCGACCCATGCGCCAAGAGGTCATCCGTTTGATTCTTGATCAGGGCACATGCCCAGGTTTTGGGCTTGATCCCCAGTAGGAGTGTGTAGGAAGTAGTTGGTGGATGTTTTTCTCTCATCATCAATGTTTCTATCTCTCCCTCTCCTTTCTTCTCTATCTAAAAAATCAATAAAAACATATTTTTAAAAATTAGTGATGACCAAGAGCTTGGGGAGAAAAGGGAAAGAAAATAGGTGAAACACAGGTTTTATAGGATGGAGAAACTATTCTGTATGGTACTGTAATGGTGGATACATGACAATATACATTTGTCAAACCCCATAGAACTCTATATCACAAAGAGTGAAGCAATGTATGCAAAATTTAAAAAAATAACCATTTAAGAAGTTAGGCAATCCCAGGAAGGAATACAGACTGTGATAAGAGAATCTAACTGTATTAGAAATGTATGACACAACCTCACTGAAAGGGATGGGGGGAAAGGTGCTGACCTAAGTAACTGGAAATGAATAGAGCCTGTAAGTCTGAAGGGGAAAAGAACTGCACATAAGTACATACAGTACTGTACTCTAAGTTGTTTCCCATGGGGTGGGGGTTAATAATCTGATACTGCTATACTGTATACTGGAATTCAACAATTAAGTAAGTGGATGGCAGATGGTAGGAGCATGTTTCTCATTGTTTGAGTGGAGATTTACAGATAAGCAAGGGGAAGGAGCTACAATGATCTATGTGATAGTGGATTAGATTTAGAGACATCAATAAGAACTTGCGTTTAGCTTAATGTACTTATAGATGATTATATAGGTAAATATTTATACATATGTGTATATTTACAGCTTTGTACACACACACACACACACACACACACACACACACACACACACGTGTGTTTTTCTGTCAGAAAAGAGGGCCAAACAGAAATGACACCCCAGTAGCAATGAGCACATCTAGCAGCCAAACCTTGGTTTTAAATACCATTCTCTAATAAAAGGAACCAGAATTCTTGAACAAACGGAAAATTCTAGGACTGGGGTAGGAAATATTTGAGATGAACCTACCTGGATTATCTTGTAGTGTCAGAAAATAGAAAGTACTAAAAAAAGACAAAAGAAAAAACTATATGTTGATGTTGGTATGTCAAAGGGACACAGGAACCAACTGGAAGAGGGCCCAACAGCCAAAGCTAGAATAACTTGAGCAAGAAAATATAGTATTGGATTATAATCCAAAGTATAAAATAAATATCTGTGAGTTCACTTTTTATAAATGTTTTTATTGTTTTTTTAGGGAGAAAGGAAGGGAGAGGAAGAGAGAGAAAAAGAAACATTGATGTGAGAGAGAAACATCAATTGCTGCTTCTTGCATGCACCCTCACTGGGGATCGAACTCCCAAACTGGGCATGTGTCCTGACCAGGAATCGAACCAGCAACCTTTCGCTGCATGAGACAATGCTCAACTGAACCACACTGGCCAGGGCTTGATATAAATTAAAAATTGAAAAATTAATAAATGGCGTACAAGAGACAAATTATTGTTCATAAGAACTTCAAATAATTAATGTAGCCCTGCTGGTGTGGCTCAGCAATTAAGCATTGGCCTATGATCCAGGAGATGGAAATTCAATTCCTGGTCAGGGCACTTGCCTGGGTTGCTAGCTGGATCCCCAGCCGGAAGCATGCAGGAGGCAGCCGATCAATGACTCTCTCATCATCAATGTTTCTATCTCACTCTCTCTCACTCTCCCTTCCTCTCTCTGAAATCAATAATACTTTCAAGAATAACGATTTTTTTTTTTTAATTCCATTCTGCAGCTTTGGGATGAAATGTTCTGTAAATATCAACTAAATCCATCTGATCTAATATGTCATTTATGGTCACTATTTCCTTGTTGATTTTTTTGTCTGGAAGATCTATCTAGTTATGTCAGTGGAGTGTTAAAGTCTCCTACTATGACTGTATTGCTGCCTGTCTCTCCCTTAAAGTCCTCTAGGAGTTTTAAAATATATTTTGGTGCTCCTATATTGGGTGCATATATGTTTACCAGGGTTATATTTTCTTGTTGGATGATCTCTTTAGTATTATGTAGTGACCTTCTTTGTCTCTTATTATGGCCTTTGTTTTGAAGTCTAATTTATCAGGTAAGTATTGCTACCCCACTTTTTATTTTCATTTCCATTTGCTTGGAAAATTTTTTCCATCCCTTCGTTTTCATCCTGTGTCTTTTGTTCTGAGGTGGTGTCTTATAGACAGCATATATATGGGTCATGTTTTCTTATCCATTCAGCTACCCTATGTCTTTTGATTGGAGCATTTAATCCATTTACATTTAAGGTTATTATTAATAAGTACTTATTTAGTTCCATTTTTATTCTTTATGCCTATGTTCTTTCTATATATTTCTTCTTCTTTGTACAGCACTCCCTTTAACATTTACTGCAGTGTTGGTTTGGTGGTAATGAACTCCTTTAGCCCTTTTTTATAGTCTGGGAAGCTCTTTATTTAACCTTTAATTTTAAATGAGAGCCTTTCTGAATAGAGTCTTGGTTTCAGATCCTTGCTTTTCATTACTTTGAAAAGTTCAAGCGATTCCCTTCTGGCCTGTGGTGTTTCTATTAAGAAATCAGCTGACAGCCTTATGGGTCATGTTTTCTTATCCATTCAGCTTCCCTAAGGCTTTTGATTGGAGCATTTAACCCACTTATATTTAAGGTTATTATTAATAGTTACTTATTAATAATAGTTACCTCCCTTGTAGATAACTGTCTCTCTCTTGCTGCCTTTAAGATCCTCTCTTTGTCTTTAACCTTTGCCATTTTAATTATATGTCTTGGTGTGGGTCTCTTTGGGTTCATCTTCATTAGGATTCTCTGTGCTTCCCGAACTTATGTGACTTTTTCCTTCACCAGGTTAGGGAAGTATTCTGTCATTATTTCTTCACACAGGTCTTCTAGTCATTGCTCACTTTCTTCTCCTTTTTGTACCCCTGTGAGGTGGATGTTATGTTTCATGCTGTCCACAAAGTTCCTTAAAGTATCCTCATGATTTTTAACTTTTTTTCTTTTTGCTGCTCTGATTTTTTTCTACGTTTTCTTCTAATTCACTGATTTGATCCTCTGCTTCATCTAACCTGCTGTTTATTCCTTCCAGTGTACTCTTTATTTCAGATATGTTATTCTTCACTTCTGACTGGTTATTTTTCATGATTTCTATATCCTTTTTCCTGCAGTTGAGCACCCTTAAAATCATTACTTTAAACTCTGTTTCTGATAAATTACATGCCCCCATTTTATTTAACTCTTTTTCTGGAGATTCCTCCTGTGTGTGTGTTTTGTTTTGTTTTCCATTTGGAGCTGTTTCTTTTATTTTCTTTTTTTCTTTTTTTTTGTTAATCCTCACTTGAATATATATTTTTCCATTGATTTTTAGAGAGAGTGGAAGTGAGGGAAGGAGGGGGAGAGAGAAACATCAATGCGAGACAGACACATAGATTTGTTGCCTCACACACATGCCCTGACTGAGGCCGGGGATGAACCTGCAACCCAGGTACATGCCATTTACCAGGAATTGAACCTGTGACCCTTCGGTCCCTGGGCTAACACTCCATCCACTGAGCCACACTGGCCACGGCTGGGGCCTGTTTCTTTGTTTCCCCATTTTGGCTATCTCATTGTGTTTGTTTCTATGTATTCAATAGAACTGCTATGACTCCCAGTCTTGGTTGGGTGGCCTTCTATAGTAGGTGTCCTGTGGGACCCAGTGGAGCAGTCTCCTTGATTGCCTGATCTGGGTGCTCTAGGAATGTCTCTTGTGTGGGTTATGCGGGCGCTCTTGCTGTTATTGGTTCTTTTTTCTTTTTTTTAATATATCTTTATTGATTTCAGAGAGAGGAAGGGAGAGGGAGAGAGAGAGATAGAAACATCAATGATGAGAGTCATCATTGATTGGCTGCCTCCTGCACACCCCTAACTGGGGATCAAGCCTGCAACCTGGGCATGTGCCCTGATCAGGAATCAAACCATGATCTCCTGGATCCTAGGTTGGTTCGCAACCACTGAGCCATGCCCAGCCCGGTGATATTGGGTTTTGATTGCTGTTGTCCCGTTCATGGGTGGGCTTGACCCTCAGGCTGGCTAACTGTAAGGCTCAACCCCAACCACATCATGCAAGTTGTTGTACAGGTGCTGACAGAACAAAACAAGCCAAAACAAAAACAGAAGCAAAACTAACCAACGACAACAAAAGAATAAGAAAGAAATGAGACAAAACATAAAAAGGAATAATGAAAGACAAGAGACAAAGTAGAAAAGAAAGAAGAAACAAAAAAATAGAATATGAAAGGAAAGATGGAAAAGAAAAAATTAAAATTAAAAAAAATATATAATATCTATGTAAATAAAATAAGAACTAGAAAAAATATGGAAAATAAAGAAGAGAAAAAATAAAATGAGAAAAGGTGAGAGAAAAATAAGAGATATGAAAGAAAAAATGAAATAGGAAAGAAAAATGAAGAAAAGATTTAAAAAGAAAAAAGCGGTGTTCGCCTCAGCAGCGTTTTGTGCCTGCTGTGATCACCCTTTGGAAACGCTGTGAAGCTTGCTGGACCCTGCTCTGATGATGTCTGAAGCTGGCCATTTGGTGTGCTGGTCCTGGGCCTTTCCGGATGTTCTTTGGTACAAGCCAATGTCAGACACTGTCCCTGCCTGGCCCTTGGCAACCTGTCCAAAGCTTGGGAGGGAAGAGTTCCTAGTAGTTCGGCCGGTGCGGCCTCTGGAGCCCAGTGGTAGGGTGTGTCTCAGGCCTTGCACTTTGAACGTCCCCACTCTAAGTTGCTCTCCTTTCCCCCAGGGAACTGCACTCAGCGGGAGTATCTGGGACCTGGGAGGAGCGATTCAATCCTTCTCCTTGCAACTTGCAGAATGGGGGAAGGGCACTTCCTCTCCTTCCCCCAGCTGCGGCACAGTCACAAAAACCCAGCTCTGCATGGCACCCCCGCTCCACATCTAACCAAGCAAGGGGGGATAAAAAAAAATCAGCCCCAACTGGCACACCAAAACTCCCCGCTCTGCCCAGGCTCCTCATGAGCCAAATGTCCAAATCCCCCGCCCCAGCAAATCACGCAGGGCAGCCCGGTTTTTCAGCCCAGCGCCATTCCGCTTTAGCTTGGAACACAGCAGCAAGATGGGGCAGACTGCAGGCGGGGGAAGGGGCGCCACGCGGGCACCCAGGTGGGCAAGACAGATCCTCTTTCCCAAACCCCACAGTCTGCTCTCCTGCCGGCTCTCTGCCCAAAGTCCGTCCAGAGAGTAGAGGGCGCCCCCACAGTCTGCTGGCTGTGCCAGAGAGTCACAGGCTGAGCGAACTTCCCAGGCTGGTGTTGAGACAACAGGATCCCTTTTTCTCTGGGATGGTGTGGTCTGTCCCCCAGGTGGACGGAATCCCCACTGGTTATGCCACCCAGTGCTAGGCAGGCTCCCCTTCCTGTCTCTGTGGCTCTGGATTGGGGATCCTTGCAGGGGCTGAGACCTCATGCTCCCGGGGGGAGGGAGCTCTGCTGGCACATTAACCCCCTGGCTCCCCAGCGCCGGCACCTGCAGGAGGGGGCTCACACTTTCTGTGTCTCCTCCTGTCTTCCTCTGTGTTCCTGTTTATAAAATTTCAGATCAGCTACACTTCAACCTGTGTTTTACGTTGATTGCTCTGCAATTTAGCTGCAAGTCCAGTCATGGGCTGGGAGCAAGCAAACGGAGCTTCAGCTACTCTGCAGCCATCTTGGAACCTCCTGCAAGTTCTTAATAGTCTTAATACAACTCTAACACTATGATATAACTTATATTAAAGGCAAAGTGATAAGATGATTGGAATTTATAAAAAATTAAACACTTTGAGGCTTCAAAGACACCATTAAGAAAATGAAAAGACAAGCCACAGACTGGGGAAAAATATTTGCAAATCACTTTATCTGGAGTATATAAAGAACTCTTTAAAAAAAAAAAAATAGAGCCCTACCTGGTTTGGCTCAGTGGTTAGAGCGTCGGCTGCATACTGAAGGGTATAGAGCATGTACCTTGGTTGCAGAATCAATCCCCAGTCCTGGTCAGCAGGAGACAACCAATCCATGTGTCTCTCTCACACCGATGTTTCTCTCTCTCTCTCTTCCACTCTCTCTGAAAAGCAATGGAAAAAATATCCTTGGGGGAGGATTAAAAAATCAAATCAAATCAAATTAAAAGAACGCTTCACAAATGTGCATGTCATCTTTGTGCAGGGACCATGCTAAATTTTCTCTGTATCGTTCCAATTTTGATATATGTGTTGTGGAAGAGAGCACTATAAAGAACTCTTAAAACTCAATAATAAAAATAAGTGTTTGAATAGATACTTCATCAGAGAAGATACAGGAATGGCTAATAAGCACATGAAAAAGTGCTTAACATCATTAGTCATTTAAAAAATGCAAATTAAAATGACAATGGATTACCATTTTACACTTATTAGAAATGCTATAATAAAACAGAAAGACACTAACAGGTGTTGAGGATTTTGAGAAGCTGGAACCCAAATACATTGCTGATGGGAATGTAAAATGGTACTGTCACTTGGGAAATCAGTTAACAATTTCTTAAAAAGTTAAACATAAGTTTACCAGCAATAGATAATTGGCCTATCAATTTTACTCTTAGGTATCTACTCAAAAGAAATGAAAACATATGTCCACACAGAAACTTATGCATGTGTGTTCATAGCAGCATTATTCACAAGACCCCAAAATTGGAAACAATCTAAATGTCTCTGAAATGGTGAATGAGTAAACAAAGTGTGGTATATGCAAACAATGGTATGCAGTTGGCAATAGAAAGGAAGAAACAACTGATACATCCCATAACATGGCTGAACCTCAAAAGCATTATGCAAAATGAAATAAATCAGACATAAAAGACCACATAAAATATAATTCCATTTTCTAAAGTATCCAGAAGAGGCAAAATCAGTTGAGACAGAAAATAGATCAGTGATTGTCTGGGGCTGGGAGTAGAAATGAATATCAACTGCAAATGGGTATGAGGGATCTTCCTAGGATGATGGAAATGTTCTAAAATTGGATCGTGGTGATGGTTGCACAAGCCCAAATTTACTAAAACTCATTGAATTGTACACTTTAAATGGATGAATTTTTAAAAAACCTTCACCCAAGGATATGTTTTTATTGATTTTAGAGAGAGGAAGGGAAAGAGAGAAGCATTGATGTTAGAGAGAAACACTGATTGGTTGCCTCCTGTACTCACTTGGGGATCGAACAACCTAGGTATGTGCTCTGACCAGGAATAAAACCAGCAACCTTTTGGTGTACTGAACGGCACTCCAACCGACTGAGCCACCCAGTGAATTTTATGGTATGTAAATTATATCTCAATAAAGCTGTCTTTTAGAAAAAGTAAAATCTCTTTCTAATATCTTAAAGCATCCTTACCTTTTTTTTTCCCTTGTTGCTTCTTTTCTTCGAGCAAAAAAGCACTAATTCTACTCAATATCTTGACATTGCTCTCAATAGCTTTGAATGTTTCTGGTAAAATCTCTATTTGTGCTACCCAGTGGTGCTGTTCATCAATATCAATTTCAGTCATCTCCGACAAAATGGCATCTTGAAGAGAGTAAAAAAGTTACTTTAAATAATTGTAACCATATGGGCTTATAATATTGGCTAACTACTCAATGTTGTAGTATTGGGGAATATAGATATCTTGTACTTATTGCTGTTCTGAGACCTTTATGAGGAAATAAAAAAGGAAGAGACTTAGAATAGAAGGCTGAACAGTAAGTCCTGGACATAAAAATATGAATCACGTTAAAAGATGTCTATTTGGTTTAGTTCCATAACTCCAAGGAAGTAGGTATCTAAAATGTGAACATGTGTCTTAATATTGGGGATCTAAACCCCAATTAACTCTTTTGGTAAGTTAATCTACTCTCTTATAACCACTGTTACATGAGACTTCTTGCAACCAAATGAAATTCCTCTTTTTTGTGTTCTTAGTTTATTCATTCTTTCGTTCAACAGACATCTCCTCTGTCATGTACTCTTCTAGATTTTGAGGATAAAACATTGAATAAAGCCAATTCCCTGACTTCATACTGCTTGTGAAAGGAGACAGACAAAAAATAAAAATAAAAATATTAATTATATAATATGTCAGATGGTAAGAAATAGTAGAGACAAAAGTAAAGAAGAGCAAAGAGTGATGGATGAGAGATAGGGACTGAGGATGGGCAGAGAACACCTAATTTTATTTTATTTTCCATTTTGAAAGATGTATAGTAGCAGCATTGTTTTCTATTAAAGAAAAACAAAGTTCAAATGTGCAACAATAACTATGTTTAACACTTGGTATACATGTGAATACAGATAAAGGCTTCTGAATAGACACCGGATTTAAATAAAGGTATTATAGGTATAATTCATTATAATTTATTTTATTAATAAGAAAAAAGTCACTGTCAAAAAGAGATAATAGAGATTTATTTTCCAATACTCTTTAATTGGACACACACACACACACACACACACACACACCCATCCCACTCCCTGCCAACTGAGCTGACTTCCCATCATTAGACCAAAATGATGACTCTCTGCCAGGCAATTACAACATGTCACACCACCAGCCCCTGGATTAGAGGAAAGAGAACACCTCTTTCTTCTTTTTCAAATCCTCACCCAAGGATATTTTTCCCACTGCTTTTCAGAGAGAGTGGAAGGGAGGGAGAGAGAAACATCAATGTGAGAGACACACATCACTTGGTTGCCTCCCACATGCACCCTGACTAGGATTGAGCCTACAACCAAGGCACATGCCCTTGGTCAGAATCGAACCCAGGACCCTTCAGTCTGCGGGCCAGTGCTCTACCCACTGAGCCAAACTGACTGGGATGAGAACACCTCATTTTAAAGTAAGGTATAAGCAGAGAAGGAGCCATGTGTCTACCTGGTGGAAAATGTTCTAGGCAAGGGAATAGTAAGCGTAAAGACACGCAGGAGCATTCTGGCATGCCTGGAGCAAAACAAGGAGGTCAGAATTGCTGGCATTAAGTGAGCAAGCCTATATTTTTATTATGTTATTCTTACTGAAATAGAGGACAACTGTTCTCTGAATAACTCCTTAGTCCTTTCTTTTGTAGTCTTCTTCTAATCCTTCAAAATTTACTTATAGATTCTGTTCTCTACCTTTTTCATTAACTTTGTGGTTTTCCTTCAAACCACTTTTGAAAACTTACTCCATTCTTCCAACCAGGCCAGGATATGTGCAAGAGTCTTTTCTTTAATTTCAGCAGAATTAGCATAAACAGCTATTTTCTCTAGCAAATTTATTCTCCGTTTCTTATATTCTGAAAAAGAGATTTTTCTTCCAGACTGCATGTGCTCATCAAAAGTGTAGCGATGTATCATCCTGTGCACATTTTGCATTATGTCACTCAGCTGCGTATTAATGTCCTATAAGAATAAGAAAGGGGAATATGTTAATAAATGTTCAGTTTGACCTTTCTTCCCAGAATTTCAGTGACAGTGACTATAAAACTGTTGAATCAAAGTCCTGCTTATTCTAGCTTACTGTGGATCTCATATTTTCCCTCTTAAATTTTTTTCTGCCTTCATCATCCTAGCATTGCTATGATATAATGAAAAGAACACTGGGTTTGAAACCATATCTGGGGTGATCCAAGATGGCTGCAAAGTGGGTAGAAGCTACACACCTCCTCTCAGCACCATACCGGCTTTACAGCTAAATTATAAAGCAATCAACCTGAATGACCAACTGCAGGACAGCTGAACAGGAGTATTATATCCAAGGATTTCTAGAAGAAGCTACACAGAGACTAGTAAGAGGGGCAGAGATGTGGAGAGGGCTGGCCCCAGCACCCAGGTGCTGTGGCTGAGAACCCAGAGGGTTATCTCTGCTGCAAAAGTCCCTCCTGAGGAACATGGGGTCTCAATCCCATGTCGGGACCCCCAAACCAGAGCACCAGGGCCAGGAAGAGGAGCCTGCATAGCATCTGGCAGTGAAAATCAGTGGGGATTCTGTTGGCTGGAAAGAGGAAATAGTCTGCTAGCATCCCAGGTGCTCTTCTAAAGGGCCAACACACAGGAGTTCACTGTTGGGCACTTACCTGGGGCCCCAGTAGAGTGAAGTTGACTCAGGGCATACAGAAGCCATAAGAACAAGATCTGGATGGTGTGGCTCCAGGGAGAGCTCTGGAGAGTCAGCTACTGAGATCCTGGTCCTGAGTCAATATACCACGCTGCCCTTAGGCTCCTTATCCCAGGGTCAGGCACTCGTATTCTTACAGCACCAGTTAGGGGAGTGCACCAACCTGACCTTCCAAATACTGGTGACACTACCCTGCCAACCTTGAGTCTGGTAGAAAGGACTGTTGGCTGCACCCTACAGGGGCCCTACACTCTCTTTCTGGAGAAACTATAGGCAGACTCTCAGTCATTGAACTCTGTGGCTTTGGAACGTGGGCCAAACTACCTCCAGCATGGGTTCGGCAGGTACCACCCCAACAGAAGACCCCCTTGTTAGGGTCTTTGGTGGTGTAGCTGTGGAGCTAAGGGAAGGCATGCAGCTTGCTCCCCTCCTGAGGGCCTGTACCACCACCAATGGAGAGCTGCCTTGATCTGCTTTCCCAAGTCCTGCTGGCCCCATCTGGCTGAGCTCAGTTCCGTGGGGGAAAAGCAGCTCTATACAGAGCTGGGACATTCATAGTGCATCTCTCTCAGAGACTCACAGGAGTTCACTGTTGGGCACTTACCTGGGGTCCTAGTAGAGTGAAGTAGTCTGAGGCTCAAGTAGTCATGGCTACAGAGCTAAGGGGAGGAGTGCAGCTCACCTCCCTCCTGCAGCCCAGCTGGTGCCACCCGCAATGGAAGGCTTTTGTACTGCTGAGCTTGCTCCTGCAGTGGGGACAGCTGGCTGCACCCAATCTCAACCTGTGGTGTGCTCCTCCAGGTGGAGTTAGAATTGGAGACTATAGCAGAGACTGAGTGGTATGGCTCTGAAGTAGGGGCCACATTCTTTCCATTGAGTGCCTGACCACACTGTCTCCAAGTAGGGGACCCACTAGCCCCATCCCCCTGACCCAGTCACCCTGTCCTACTGAGCTTGAGCCATGTGTGTCAGTGGGGCACAGCCAGCTTGGGCCCACTCTACAGCCTTTCTTCATAAGACTCTGGAGGAAGTCCAGGCAACCTCAAGGTGGGGCGGAATAGCTGACTGGTGGACGCTGTCCTCAGGAAGACTTGGACTTTTATTGATCTGCCCCCAGCTCAGAGCTTCAGGAAGCCCATCATGGTACACAGCCTGGCCCCTCCTGCACACACCCAGGCCCAGAAGATACAGAGCAAACAGCAAATAGTGTAGTAGCTCCAGACTGGTAACCCAAGGCTGGTTATTCACAACATCTGACATTGACCTGCACCAGGGCCCAGGCCAAGGGGGCCCAAAACCAACACAACCACTGGTGGGCTTCAAACCACACAAGAGCTCAGCGCAACTAGCCACACAAATGGCACAGCCAAAGGGGGACCCCAGCAGATACCAGACCCTGCTGGGAACAGCTCTGCCTCGCAGCCCCTGAACAGCGAGCAACTCATACACAGTGAATGAGGTCTATCCTTATAGTGAGCCAGCCAGCCTGAGGGTTAACTCTACCCACAAATGGGCCAACAGCATTCAAGACTCAGCTATAATAGGAGAGGGCACATAACCCACACAAGATCATTTCTGGAGCACCTAGTCCAGGTAATCTAAAAGATTCTGCCCCTGAGACCCGTAAGGCACTTACATCAGAAAGCCCTCATAACAAGCTTGTGAGTCATAGCAGATCTACTGAATACACAGAGACAAACACAAAAAGGCAGACAAAATGCAGAGACAAAGAAATATGCCCCAAATTGCCACGGTCCAGCCGCAGCGGGAGTCAGGGGTGCTGAAGGTGGGCAAGGCGTCGGCGCTCGGAGACAGCAGACTACACGACTCGGAGGTGGTGTGACACTGTTCCACTTTATTGAGAATCAACATAATCTTTTATATTTTCTTTTTTGGCTATGATTACATTTTTTCGGTTAGCAAGCAAGAAATATTATTCACAGGTTAAACAATACAAGTTTCGATTTCATCAGAACGGAACAATTTTGACTTATTTTTTAGAATAGAGGAGAAAGGAAAAATCAGTGACCTATAGAGTGATAGATGCGGCTTTGTTTGCAGCAGTAATATATTAGTTTGTGAGACAGAAATTTTATATAATATTTGCCTGTGGTTACTACTTCTTCTGGTTATATTTTAACTATGGACCTATTCTTAAGCTATTATATTCTTCTTGCCATTTTCTTCTAAAAAAAGAGTGCCTTTTGCCATAGCTATTGATTAACTGCTTAAGAATGCTTTTCTTTTGTTTCTTTGGGAGCAAGCACCAGCGTGGCCGCTGCCTTGCCAAGCGTTTCATGAAGGGCAAGTTCTCATACTGAACATGCCTTCCATTTACATTAACTATTTTGATACAGTTTTCATTGTAAGCACCTGTATGAGGCAGAGGAGGGTCTGGTAGCCTTTCCATACTGTTAGCCCCTTTTAGGGGGATGCCACAATCTGCCATTTATTCTATGTGCTACCCAGGGTGGTCCTTGTACAGTAGGCAAGGGGCGATGGCCTTTTTCTTGTCCTCGACTAATCTTGCATTCATAGGCGGGGGCACTCGAGGATAGGTGCCTGCATGAGCTCAGCTTGCTCTAGTTCCTCCATAAATCCCTTTTTGGGGGCGCCAGGGGGAATTTTCCTAGCTTCTTCTAATAACTATTTGTTAAAGCATCCGGCACATGTGATGGTGACTGGACTTGGGGAAATCGAGATTTCTTCAGAAGTGAGAACACTGTTTACCATTCCCAGGTTAGTTATTGATTTATGGCCCAAAATCCCCCTCCAAGGAGGAGAAGGGATATTCCCATTAAGCCAATTACTCCCTCCCACATGCCACGTCCTTTCCTCAGAAGACACCTTCCTTGAAACTTCCTCTCCACATCCGGATCTTGTCAGACGACATGGTTGGGAGAGGACGGGGCACCAAATGAAAGAATAAGAGAAATCCCCAGAAAAAGAATTAAATGAAATGGAAGCAACCAAAATAGCAGATACAGAGTTTAACACAATGGTTATGAGAATGCTCAAAGACCTTAGGGGATGAATGGATGATCTCAGTGAGAGCTTAAACAAAGAGATAGGAAGTATTAAAAAGAGCATAGGCCCTGGCTGGTTTGGCTCAGTGGTTAGAGCATCGGCCCACAGATAGAAGGGCTCCAGGTTCAATTCCAGCTGAGGGCATGTACCTCAGTTGCAGATTTGTTCCCTAGTTGGGGCGCATACAGGAGGCAAGCAATCGATGTATTTCTCTCACATCAATATTTTTTTTCTCTCTCTCCTTTCCTCTCTCTCTGAAATCATGAAAACATAACTGAGGAATTTTTTTAAAAAGATGAATCCAAAGAGGCCCACACCAAGATATTTCTTAATTAAAATGTCAAAGGTTAAAGACAAAGAGAATCTTAAAAGCAGCAAGAGAAAAACAATTTGTTACCTACAAAGGAGCTCCCATAAGGCTGTCAGTTGATTTCTCAACAGAAACACTTCAGGCCAGAAGGGAGTGGCATAAAATGTTCAAAGTGATGAAAAGCAAGGAACTACAACCAAGACTATTCTATCCAGCAAAGTTATTTAAAATTGAAGGTGAAATAAAGTTTCCCAGACAAAAAACAACAACACAAACACAACAAAACCTGAGAGAGAGGAACATAGGTATAAAGAATAAAATGGCAGTAAATAAGTACCTATCAATAATAACCTTAAGTGAAAATGGATTAAATGCACCAATCAAAAGACACAGCCTGGCTGGTGTGGTTCAATTGGTTGAGCATCATCCCATACACCAGGAGGTCACCAGTTCAATTCCCAATCAGGGCACATGCCCAGGTTGCAGGCTCAATCCCCAGTAGGAGGCATGTGGGAGGCAGCCAATCAATGTTACACTCTCTCATCAATGTTTTTATCTCTGTCTCCCTCTCCCTTCCTCTCTCTAAAATCAATAAAAACTTAAAAGAAAAAAAGACATAGGGTAGCTGAATGGATAGGAAAACAAGACCCATATATATGCTATCTACAAGAGGCCCACTTCAGAACAAAAGATACAGACTGAAAGTGAAGGGATGGAAAAAAATATTCCATGCAAATGGAAACAAAAAAAGTTGGGATAACAATACATATATCAGGCAAAATAGACTTCATAGCAAGAGACAAAGAAGGTCACTACATAATACTAAAGGGATCAATCCAACAAGAGTATATACCCTTGAAAACATATATGAACCCAACATAGGAGCACCTAAATATATAAAGAAAATCTTGGTGGACATTAAAGCAGAGATCAACAACAATACAGTCA